TTTACAGCAAGGCTGTAGTTACCTTTCATCTCTTTATCTGGACTTGATAAGGATTAAAGCTTTGTGCCTGTTACAGAAGCTGGCTTTAAGCCCTTCTCGTGAATAATCCACATCTTCCGCTCCTCATTGTCAGAGAGAACAGTGCTAGGTTATTACAGAACAACGGCTGTCGTCAATTAGCTTGTGAAACTGCACTGACACAAATCAATATGCACACGCGTCCCGTCAACCCCGATCCAGGAAGGATCTATTTTATCACTGTAGGATTAATACAAGACGATGTAATTGATAAAAAAAGTACGGAAACCTGTATCCGACAAAAGAACGAACCACGGGACATTGCATTACACGATCTACCGATAAAGACGAGCTCTTCAACCTACGCGTACAAGATGGCTGGGAACATTCTTGATGCTACATTATACGTAGATATGGGGAAATACCATATCGACGCGACCGCCTCCGTGGTCTTGTGGTAGAGCGTCCGCCCGGAGAGCGGAAGGTCCAGGGTTCGATCCCGGGCCGCGTCATACAAAAAGACGTTAAAAGATTGTACTTGTTGTTACCCTGTCTGGCGCTCGGCATTAAGGGGCTAAAACAAGGACTGGTCGGCTCGGAGTCAGTATACTGTGTCTGAGTGGGGTATTCATGTTAAACTGCGGCATGGTATCTCAGTGAGCTAGCACTATAAATCGGCATCAGTCCGGACTAGTACAAGCAGCCACACACACACACATACACGTGCATGCACGTCGCTATATAAGTGCAATAATCTTGGACGCGACGTTAAACCCAATTTCACCTCACCTCACCACCATATCGACGCGCACAGCTCTAGCTCTCCACCTGTGAGGGAGTAACCCCGCATTCTGCAATATTTTATGACGGCGGCCTTTCAATAATCAACTCTGGATCAGTTAATCCAGTGGTCGAGATCATGAGCAACGATTCATGCACATGGGTACGACTAAATGCTATCAACCAAGTCACCGAACCTATCTACCTGTCTATTTAGTCGCGTATGTTGCGAGGGACCTATTCTAACCTCGAATCCCCTAAGAAGATGAGTTAGTGAGTGAGTTTTGTTTTACGCCGCTTTTAGCAACACCCCAGCAATATCAAAGCAGGGGACCCCGGAAATGGGCTTCACACATTGTACCCACGACGGGAATCAAACCCAGGTATACGGAGTGGCGAGCGTACGCTTTAACCACTAGGCTACCCAAGCGCCCAGAGTGAGTGAGTGAGGGTAGGTGATGATTATCATGATCAGCAACATTGCACGTGTTTGCATGACGTCACATGAACTCATCATCTCATTCAGTTGACCGCAGGTATGCTCATATTGATAAAGCAATATCTCGGAGAGCCTAATTAGGCTGTATACCCAAATTTGAATACCAGCAATGGTGGCCGAATACCTGCACAATGCTTGGTGTACATGTAGTACAAAGGGGATCTGTTGGACACAATGGCTGCTGATAATACCCGGATGAGACCTGACTGTTTTCGCGTGCCATCCTTCATCAATGCGTTGGTCACATCGTCTTCGGCTAACAGTAATTGATTCACTGTATATCCCTTCCTACTAAACTCATAAATCAACAGCAATATGCAATATTATTTTTAGTTCCTTCGAGACTACCACCCAAATAATTCATTCATGTGTTACAGACTTACAACAAAGTAACATCGAGACTTCAGGCAGTGACTTGGTTTTATTATGCCTACTGTATGAGCAATCAGGTAATTCCGTGATGTTCCCTGCGGAGCACCATACATATTGAGAAGCTCCATCAATCAGCGCGTACCACCCAGGGCATCATTGATACGGCAAATCTCGGAGATCAAACATGCTCGAGGCTCGGGAATTGAGTTGGTTCCTTGACTACCTATATATCAGCACAGTAAACAGGACGTTGCCTTGACACATGACAAGACGACTGATACAAGCGGGAATGTTTGTTTGTTTGTTTGTGTGTTTGTTCAACCTCGTTTTGAACAGTATTTCAATTATCTGGGTGTCAGCTTATTGTTTGTCTTTTTATTAACGCCGCCCTTAGCAATATTCCAGCTTTATAACGGCGGTCTGTAGGTAATCGAGTCTGGACCAGACCATCCAGTGATTGACATCATGAGCATGCAATTTGGATACGATGACACGTATCAACCAAGTCAGCGAGCCTGACCACCCGATCCCCTTAGTCTTACGTCAAGCATAGTCGCCTCTAGCTGCCAGCATGGGTTGCTGAAGATCTATTCTAACCCGGATCTTCACGGGGGGAGACAAGCATGGGTTGCTGAAGACCTATTCTAACACTGAACTTCACGGGGGGAGACAAGCATGGGTTGCTGTAGATCTATTCTAACCCGGATCTTCACGGGGGGAGACAAGCATGGGTTGCTGAAGATCTATTCTAACACGGATCTTCACGGGGGGAGACAAGCATGGATTACTGAAGATCTATTCTAACCCGGATCTTCACGGGGGGAAACAAGCATGGGTTGCTGAAGATCTATTCTAACACGGATCTTCACGGGGGGAGACAAGCATGGGTTGCTGAAGATCTATTCTAACACGGATCTTCACGGGGGAAGACAAGCATGGGTTGCTGAAGATCTATTCTAACCCGGAACTTCACGGAGGGAGACAAGCATGGGTTGCTGTAGAACTATTCTAACCCGGATCTTCACGGGGGGAGACAAGCATGGGTTGCTGAAGATCGATTCTAACCCGGATCTTCACGGGGGGAGACAAGCATAGGTTGCTGAAGATCTATTCTAACCCGGAACTTCACGGGGGGAGACAAGCATGGGTTGCTGAAGATCTATTCTAACACGGATCTTCACGGGGGGAGACAAGCATGGGTTGCTGAAGATCTATTCTAACCCGGATCTTCACGGTGGGAGACAAGCATGGGTTGCTGTAGAACTATTCTAACACGGATCTTCACGGGGGAAGACAAGCATGGGTTGCTGAAGATCTATTCTAACCCGGAACTTCACGGGGAAGACAAGCATGGGTTGCTGAAGATCTATTCTAACACGGATCTTCACGAGGGGAGACAAGCATGGGTTACTGAAGATCTATTCTAACACGGAACTTTACGGGGGGAGACAAGCATGGGTTGCTGAAGATCTATTCTAACCCGGAACTTCACGGAGGGAGACAAGCATGGGTTGCTGTAGATCTATTCTAACCAGGAACTTCACGGGGGAAGACAAGCATAGGTTGCTGAAGATCTATTCTAACACGGATCTTCACGGGGGGAGACAAGCATGGGTTGCTGAAGATCTATTCTAACCAGGAACTTCACGGGGGAAGACAAGCATGGGTTGCTGAAGATCTATTCTAACACGGATCTTCACGGGGGGAGACAAGCATGGGTTGCTGAAGATCTATTCTAACACGGAACTTCACGGAGGGAGACAAGCATGGGTTGCTGAAGATCTATTCTAACCCGGATCTTCACGGGGGGAGACAAGCATGGGTTGCTGAAGATCTATTCTAACACGGAACTTCACGGGGGAAGACAACCATGGGTTGCTGAAGATCTATTCTAACACGGAACTTCACGAAGGGAAACAAGCATGGGTTGCCGAAGATCTATTCTAACACGGAACTTAGCGGGGGGAGACAAGCATGGGTTGCTGTAGAACTATTCTAACCCGGATCTTCACGGGGGGAGACAAGCATGGGTTGCTGAAGATCTATTCTAACACAGACTTCACGGAGGGAGACAAGCATGGGTTGCTGAAGATCTATTCTAACACGGATCTTCACGGGGGGAGACAAGCATGGGTTGCTGAAGATCTATTCTAACACGGAACTTCACGGAGGGAGACAAGCATGGGTTGCTGAAGATCTATTTTAACCCGGATCTTCACGGGGGGATACAAGCATGGGTTGCTGAAGAAGGTGGGGTGAGGCAAATAAAGGTGGGTGGGTAAGTAAGGGTGAGGTGAAGCAAGTAAAGGTTGGGGTGAGTGAGGCAAAGTTGGTTGGGGCCCTTATTCAGAACACATTTCGTCAAATTGTGCTGAGTAAGAAAGGAGGCCCTTACGCAAGTGTGAGAAGTAGTGTGAAATAAAAAGTCTTTAAAGATTGCATTTAATACAATAGGCATGCAATTTATTGCAGTATTGAAAATACTTTGTATGACATTGGCACAATGACACGTTTGTATCAATGAATACGTGTGCTTTGTATTTCGTGGCGACCCCAATAAATCTGTCCGCTACAGACACAAGTGTGTGTAAACAAGACGAAACCCACTGTAAGAAATATCGGCAAATAAGCTGCCGTATATCACAGCAATGTCCGACAGATTTACTGCACACGTAAAGGCGGGTGTCTCATTCAAGATAGAGAGAAAGTGTAAGAAAGGTGTTTTTTGTTTTGTTTTTTTGTTGCTTTTTAGTTGTTGTTTGTCTTTGGTGTGTGTGTGTGTGTGTGTGTGGGGGGGGGGGGGGGGGGGTGTGATTTTTTGTTGTTGTTTGGTTGTTTGTTGTTGTCTTGTTTGTGGTTTTTTGTTGTTGTTATTTTGGGTGGTGGTGGCATATAAAGGAACAAAAGGGAGGTGACGTAGGGGTCGATAGAAAGAGGCGGAAAGGGAGAAAGATAAGGGTTGGGGGGAGTGATAGAAGGGTAATGAGATTAACAATGGAGATTAACATCCAAAGAACAAGAAGGGGAAATTAAGGGTCGAGAGATCAGTACCTTGTAGTTAGTACATATTTACAGTGATATGAAAATACTGTTGTAAGGGTATTTGGTGTCAACTGATCATACTGAAATATAAGCATAACTATAGTTACCAGTATTCAACTAAAACAAACAACAACAGTATTCGTACTATTTTGCTTTTCCATCAAACTTTCACTACGGCTGAACATATGCATGTGCCGCCAGTATTGCCACCCTGCACTGTGACGGGAGGCGTTGTCAATAACAAGTGACCCACATCCAATGTTTCTAATTACAGAAAATCGTAACTCACCCAAAACAAGACTGATTTAAATCCCTGCGTTCCTTCCTAGGATCTGCAAGGATCGTCTCTCATAATTCCACCTGCAAATCAATCCCTCAATCTTCTTAGCGGTTGATCAGCGATCACCTATTAGCTTTCGCTGTGTGTATTCCTGCCCCCTTCGATACGCCGGCATTGTTCTATTGTGGGGTACCGTTATGAGCACAGCGCCGAGCTAGCAACAGGTCTACACAAGTCGCATTGTCACCCTTCCATAGCCCCAGCTCGACATGGTCGTGTAAAACCATTTACCGGTAAACAAAGCATAACACATTCGCCAGGTAAATTGTACCAAAGGTATACTTACCCCACCAGTTACCTCCCTTAAGCGTTTAAATTCGTTAATACCTATAGCGTGACTTTACGGTGATTACTTGTGTTAATCTCCGGGTTGACTTAAGGTAACATTTGCTACGATTTAGTACAGTTATCTCCCTTCGGTATGAACCCCCCACATTCCACATGGTCTGGTGTTGTTCAGGTTGAATGTGTATATTTTGCCTAGTTTCCGGTTACTAGGTCGTCTTCGGCCACTTTCGGGATTGCCCGTGACTGTATCCGTGTTTGGTGGTTGCCGTTGTTAGAGGGTAGCGACACCGTTTTATCCAGCTAGCGTTTGTGGGCGAATGATTACGTCCCAGGGGAGGTTTACACACGCGAGCCAGGATGAGAGTGGATAGATTTAGACGCCGACAGTGTGTCGCTTGTTTGAGGTTGTTCATGAATGTGTAATAGTGAAAGGAATATTGACGCCGCGCGTTTTAACTGTTAATTACATGTTGCTATTGACAATAGTTGATTGCCGCCATGTGTCAATCAGTGTGGCATAAATACATCTACAAATTTTAAGTTTCATTACGGCGGAGGAGATTAATTAAAGTTTATAGCAACCGCCTTTAATAAATGTTTCCGCTTATTTTAAAGATTCAGTGAATAAAAATTTTTAAATTTTAAATGTCGAGGGCACCCGAAGTAACTTCTCCTTTTTTCAGTAACTTAAAGTAAAAATAAATTCCATCTCTACTTCTGTATGTCCCCCAGGGAGCTGAGAATATATTTGCACACTGATCCGTTGACCAGGTTTTGTCATCCCTTGTTTTGTGGTAGTTTCGAGAAATGTACATTATTATCAATAATTACTATTATCATTAGTATTTATTTTGTTTATTGATCATTTAAAGTCTAATTTAACACTCTTTGATAAAGTGGTCTGTTATCGTCCCGGCAGTTAAAGTACTTCGCGTGACTCAAGTGAACTTTGGCTTTGGGAAAAAAGATCTTCATTACGTTATTTTGTTTCAAGGGATCATGGTACGGAGGTGTAGAGTGGAGTCATAGCGTCGTTAGCGTGCCGGTATCTGCACGCGTTACCTGTGTAATTAGTAGTCACACGATCAGGTTGTACATTTACCCACACTTAGAGGTGCAAGATCATTTTTTATTTGTTGCCAGCATGTTTGTTTTTTGCATATTTTGAAAGAGACACTTTCGTACATGTACATTTTAAATTATGTTTGTACGACCACATAATATGCTTAATTCATGCGCGAACCCTGGGTCATAGCCGCTCTGACCCCGAGGTACCCGGATGTGCTTCCCTTATACCGGAACCCTGTGTCATGGCCGCTCTGACCGCGACTTTACTTACCCGGATGTACCAGTCAGTGAAGTCACCTTCGTCTAATGACCCTGTCAAACTACAACGTTTTAGAGTAACTTACACCTAGCGTGTAAAAGGCAGTTAGTACGTTGTCATACGTCGTGCTTTCACCGAAAAAACATGATTTTGGCGTATCTATAGCGTATACATAACGAGAGTTTACCATATATGGAACGCTTGTCTAACGTATTAATACGTATCACTGACTTAAACATAACTTATGACAGCGTATAAAAGCGTATTGCTAGAGTGTGTCTGGCGTGTTCAACGTATGTCCAGCGTATGTCCAGCGTATGAGTAACGTATGACTAGCGCGCTCAGCGTAGGGGAAAGGTGCCTAAAACGGGCCGTATGGGTAACGTATATCTTGCGTGTGTAAACTTTTGTAGAGCGTACCCCTTACGTATGCCTAACGTATAATTCATACCTTCATATATTCTCATACGCCGAAAATGTTGTGCATGTACAAAACTGTTTTTAAGCCTCGGCGTACTACAACGTATATCAGCGTGCTTTTAACGTATACAACTTACACCTAACTTATCCATAGCTGTTTCTGGGGCGGTCGGGTAGCCTAGTGGTTAAAGCGTTCGCTCGTCACGCCGAAGATCCGGGTTCGATTCCCGACATGGGTACAATGTGTGAAGCCCATTTCTGGTGTCCCCCGCCGTGATATTGCTGGAATATTGCTAAAAGCGGCGTAAAACCATACTCACTCACTCACTCATAGCTGTTTCAACTTCTCATACGTCGCCATACGTTACTGCTGTACGTTGTAGTGTGACAGGGCCATAAGCTCCAAACAGCGACGTGTCACTTGGTTTACTTTATCCAAACACTTTCACAGGACAGCTATATGTCTTGATGCAGGTAATAGAGACTTACCACGTTCAGCAAACACGGGACTGAGCCGACACACCAAGAGAGTCTAAGATATATTAACGAAGCCATGGTTCTTTCTGCAGTATTGACAAAAATGTAAGACATTACTGAATGTCAGCTAGCATGGTGTAATTGAACAAAAGTTGACAAATATAAAGAATATATTCAAGTGCGCTGTATGTGTGGTCACTACCAGTCCCCATTACGTCGCCTGGTCAGGGTTGGTGATCTGTGATTGATATTACGAGCAACCTCCCGCGCCGTCGGGTTCGACATAGATCAATAAATCCATTGTTAAATCGCCTTGATCGCCAATCAGATCGTTAGTGGGAACCTTGTCTAACCCCGGACTCCCGTGGGATTGGAGGGACCATCTTAGGGTTTGGGCGGGATGTTGCAGGTACATTTTCCTGTCGATGTATATTATACGTTTTGTTCCGATTGACATATTTGGGGTATGCAGTTTGTGCTCCCAGTGTTATTGTTTGTAATGATACATCTCTGGGAGATTTAGTGAAAGAAGACAGAAATGCAGTGACAAGCTTGAATGATGTGCCGCGTTGTTGTGGCAGAGTAGATTGTAATTCCCCGCAGTGGTGCTACAATTCTCCGCAGTTTATTACAGGGTACCAGTGGTGCTACAATTCACCGCAGTTTATTACAGGGTACCAGTGGTGCTACAATTCACCGCAGTTTATTACAGGGTACCAGTGGTGCTACAATTCTACGCAATTTATTACAGTGTACCAGTGGTGCTACAATTCTACGCAGTTTATTACAGAGTACCAGTGATGCTACAATTCTGCGCAGCTTATTACAGTGTACCAGTGGTGATACAATTCTCCGCAGTTTATTACAGGGTACCAGTGAGGCTACAATTCTACGCAGTTTATTACAGGGTACCTGTGGTGCTACAATTCTCCGCAGTGTATTAAAGTGTACCAGTGGTGCTAAAATTCACTGCAGTTAATTACATTTTAAGGCACGTCGTAACAGATGTCCTGTCATTCATCGAGTCTTGACCAGCCAATCCAGTGGTTGATAGCATGAGCAAAGACCCACTCGGAGTACGATGACACACAATCAGTTAAATCACACGTTTGTTTCTTTGTTGTTTAACGCCATACTCACCAGTATTCCAGCTATACAGCGGCGGTCTGTATATAATCGAGTCTGAATACGACAATCCAGTGACTGACATCATGAGTATCGATCCACGCATTTAGGATACATCAACCAAGTCAGCGAGCCTGACCACCCGATGCCGTTAGTCGCCTCTTACGACACCCATAGTCGCCATGTACGGCAAGCATGGGTTACTAAAGACCTATTCTCTACCCGGATCTTCACGGGTCGAAATCACACGTCATAGCATGTTACAAGCATGGGATATTTAATCTGGGACGTTATCTTCCATGGATGCCTCACGGGGAACTACATGAAAAATCAAAGACGTTGATAACAATCGGTGATGAAAAATAGTACAAAATTTATTGCAGTCAATCCGTTGTTATCACAGAAGTTTTGCTTTGGCACCGAAACCCTGTTAGGCATTGAGCAAGATATAAACATAACAAAACTTCTAAAACATAACTTCTTAAATATGCACAGCATGCGGGCCAGTGGTACCAAGATGAAGTACAAGATGAACATACCATCTAAACAGCCGGGCAAAAAAGTATGCACCCATGTTTGATGGTGGCTAAAAATATAACAAACAAGAAATGGTTATTCAATTTTGATATATTTGATTCGAGTATCGTTGGCGGTATTGGACCTTTTCAGTGTTTCGGCGACTGTTTTCAACTCAATTAACGTTTGGATAACGCTTGTAATTTGTTTAGTCAAATTCAATTTTCAAGTTTATAATCTCTTTTGCCCGGCATCTATCGTCTACAGTGCTAACGAATGACAAGTCTACAACACATCGTAGTTATGTTGGGGTACCGTTACATTACATGCTTGTATTAATTTTCATATTTAGAATTGTGGCACGTTGTCATTGATGTATGGAAGCTTTAAAGGGTCTCAACATAAAAGTGGCAATTATGGCAATATGACTAAACACTCACATTAGAGGAGAATGTCATTGGTAGTATTCCGTACAAGGACATACCTTTGTGAATGACTTCATCTCAATTGTATACACGATATTGGTTAGGACAACGCAAAGAAGATTATTTTTCAAAACCAGGGCAAACCTGAGACTCAGACAAGCAACCATCAGATCTTGGTAGCATAAATGACCACTTCTTGTACAGAGAATTGTGGCATTTAATTTGGTCACGACAACCACTTGGCAACGATTGATGACTTCATATGGTTCCGATATCCAGCACTGTACAGTGTTTATTAACCTTTGGCATTATTCTAGTCAACAGTGGCTGGACATGACAAGTGCTTATAATGTCTGGTTTGTTGGTTTGTTATTTAAACGACGCACTCAACAATATTCCAGCTATATGACGGCGGTCTGTAAATAATCGAGTCTGGACCAGACAATCCAGAGATTGACATCATGAGCATCAATCTACGCAATTGAGATACAATGACATGCATCAACCACGTCAGCGAGTCTGACCACCTGATCCCGTTAGTCGCCTCTTACTGCTCAAAATGACGTAATGTTATGTCACGTTCAGAACACGTTCATACACATTTCATAAGACTTGCGTCCACATCTAACTGCGTAGCAGGGAAGCACGACCTGCACGATCTTCACGACTGATTGTCATCATGCAAACACTTCATCATATGTCATTCGATATCTACTTGAGCATATTGGTGATATATCAGTAAAAGCGTATTTGAATTAGGTACATGTTATAAGTATAAAAATGGATTACATACGAGAAATGTACATACACATGCATATTATCAAGAATATAAATAAAATAGCACCAAACTTGACAGGTCATCTCGTTGTGTGGATTCATACCGTCGCAAATGAGGTACTTAAAACACGTTGACGACGTTGTACAAGGTTGTCATGGTCTTCGTCCACGTGATGAACACCAGTCAACATCGTAATATCATTAATATTGCACAAGCAAAACCTCAGACTCTCTCTGTATCCTTGTGATGTTCACGAAATGGTCATCGTGGTTGTGTCTTCTCATATGTCAGACATGTTTGTTGTGTGGTTTACTTTAAGCCACATGAAACCGGTCCGTTCTTCCTTGCCCTCTGCTCCTAACCTCTTGAGCTCGTAACGCCGGATGAGGTTACCTCCCTTGTATTCGCTGGCACGTGACATGGGCAAGGTCACGCTCCCCACCAGAGTGTCCTTCACCAGGTTCGCTTGCCACATCTGAAACACGGAGTGAGGCGTTGAGTCATATAGCTTGATCACTAAAATATACACTACTCGTCAGGGTAATCACTATGCTCAATACATATCTGACATTTGCACATGTGTACTTTAGCAATTCTCAATACTGATTGGTCAGTTGAAACCTTATGGCGTCACAGTGTTTCATTGCTGACTTCTAAATTGATTCCATTACGTCATCTGAACAATAGGCTGCCAGAAACCACCAGTTTTAATGGACATGAAGACATCCTTTCCACCGAAGAGATTTTTGAGGGCTTTCTTTTGCGTGTCTGTTAGTTTTTTTTATGATGAATTTCTCGCAAAATCAATGGGACTGGCCGCCATATTCTTATTGCCAACCTCACATTGAGGCTGTTTGTAATTCACATTGTGATTGGTACGTTAGACCCAGTAGCGTAGCCAGTCAAATTGGCAAATGGAAATCAAGGGCAGGTAATTTGAGGTTGCGAGAATCACAGGGATGGGTCCAGGGATTAGTGTAGGTTATAAGAAATGCTAGCCCCGGAGACATAGAGGATGGCCATGGCCATGCTTGCGCATGAACTTAGGGATACATATTTTATTGATTTGTCACTCTTTGCAAGAAATAAAAGGCGAAAAATAAATTTCAACAATAAAATTGGCACCTTGGCTATACACTTCATGGTAACCATCATACGGAACTGTGGCATACGGAATAGCACTTAACTGGCCTCGACATCTAGCGTACGAAAAGGGGATTGGCATGATCAAACTGCCTGATTGATATACACAATAAAATTGAGGTAAAAAAATCCAAGGTGGTTTGGAATGCCTCGAATCAAAATGCTTTAGGTCTAGGCCAGCTCTAAATACCAGTATCATATATAGATTTGGTTATTGCAACTGGTGTAACATATGCGTGTCGAGTTTGTGACTGACTTCTATGACGACATCCTCCTGTGGTTTCTTCCTATACAGCGTCACCCTGTCTCCCCAGATGGCGGTGGGGCCCTTCTTGGAGGTGGTGGTCTGAAACACCTTGCCCTCACACTTCAGTATACAGTAGGCCTGCAGCTCTACAACACACCATGGAGACACATGAGTTACACACACCTTGTCCTCACACTTCAGTATACAGTAGGCCTGCAGCTCTACAACATACCATGGAGACACATGAGTTACACACACCTTGTCCTCACACTTCAGTATACAGTAGGCCTGCAGCTCTACAACACACCATGGAGACACATGAGTTACACACACCTTGCCCTCACACTTCAGTATACAGTAGGCTTGCAGCTCTAAAACACACCATGGAGACACACATGAGTTACACACACCTTGTCCTCACACTTCAGTATACAGTAGGCCTGCAGCTCTACAACACACCATGGAGACACATGAGTTACACACACCTTGTCCTCACACTTCAGTATACAGTAGGCCTGCAGCTCTACAACACACCATGGAGACACATGAGTTACACACACCTTGTCCTCACACTTCAGTATACAGTAGGCCTGCAGCTCTACAACATACCATGGAGACACATGAGTTACACACACCTTGTCCTCACACTTCAGTATACAGTAGGCCTGCAGCTCTACAACACACCATGGAGACACATGAGTTACACACACCTTGTCCTCACACTTCAGTATACAGTAGGCCTGCAGCTCTACAACATACCATGGAGACACATGAGTTACACACACCTTGTCCTCACACTTCAGTATACAGTAGGCCTGCAGCTCTACAACACACCATGGAGACACATGAGTTACACACACCTTGCCCTCACACTTCAATTTACAGTAGGCATGCAGCCTCTACAACACACCATGGAGACACACATGAGTTACACACACCATGGAGACACATGAGTTACACACACCTTGCCCTCACACTTCAATTTACAGTAGGCATGCAGCCTCTACAACACACCATGGAGACACATGAGTTACACACACCTTGCCCTTACACTTCAATTTACAGTAGGCATGCAGCCTCTACAACACACCATGGAGACACACATGAGTTACACACGCCATGGAGACACACATGAGTTACACACACCTTGCCCTCACACTTCAATTTACAGTAGGCATGCAGCCTCTACAACACACCATGGAGACACACATGAGTTACACACACCATGGAGACACACATGAGCTACACACACCTTGCCCTCACATTTCAATTTACAGTAGGCATGCAGCTCTACAACACACCATGGAGACACACATAAGTTACACACACCATGGAGACACACATGAGTTACACACGCCATGGAGACACACAAGAGCTACACACACCATGGAGACACACATGAGTTACACACGCCATGGAGACACACATGAGCTACACACGCCATGGAGACACACATGAGTTACACACGCCATGGAGACACACATGAGCTACACACGCCATGGAGACACACATGAGTTACACACGCCATGGAGACACACATGAGTTACACACGCCATGGAGACACACAGGAGCTACACACGCCATGGAGACACACATGAGTTACACACACCTTGCCCTCACACTTCAGTATACAGAAGGCATGCTGCTCTACAACACCCCATGGAGACACACATGAGTTACACACACCATGGAGACACACATGAGTTACACACACCTTGCCCTCACACTTCAATTTACAGTAGGCATGCTGCTCTACAACACACCATGGAGACACACATGAGTTACACACGCCATGGAGACACACGCGAGTTATACATGAAACGGGGACACACATGAGTTACACACACCATGGAGACACACATGAGTTACACACACCATGAAGACACACACGAGTTATACATGAAACGGGGACACACATGAGTTACACGCACCATGGAGACACACATGAGTTGCACTCAAAACGGGGACACACATGAGTTGCACTCAAAACGGGGACACACATGAGTTACACTCAAAACGGGGACACACATGAGTTGCACTCAAAACGGGGACACACATGAGTTACACACGAAACGGGAAGACACATGAGTTACACACACCTTTCCCTCACACTTCAAAACACAGTAGGTCTGCAGCTTTATATACAACACCACAGGGACACACATGCTTCACAAACAAAAAGGGAGAGCACGCGGGGAGTTATTGAATGTTAGTGTCGCTTTATCACGACTGCTGTAAATACTTGAGTCAGGTCAGGCAAATCAATGATTGATAGCATGAACACGATCCACTCTGCCAGGGCACAATGCTACATAATCAACCTGTGTAACGTACTGTTCTCATCTTAGCTCTCATGACAAGTACGGGATGCTGGGGGTTGCTTGACACTCATCAAGGAGGACACACATGAATTATGAATTATACATGGCTAAATATGCTTGTGTCATAACGTCATTTGTTTATTTGTTTGTTGTTAAACGCCACACGCAGCAATATTCCAACTATATGACGGCGGTCTGTAAATAATAGAGTCTGAACTAGACAAACCAGAGATTGACATTATGAGCATCAATCTATGCAATTGGGATACAACGACATGCATCAACCAAGTCAGCAACATGACCTGCCGATCCCGTTAGTCGACAATCATCGGTTGCTGAAGACCACTTCTAACCCGGATCTTCACGGGTGACATCATATCTTGTGTTCCAGGCGAAAGTTTACAGTATATGGGAAATATGGTGAATGTTTCTATAATGAATTATTAGTGTGCTGATGTAATATATTAGGAATTACAAAAACGAAATTGAAAAGTCTTTGTGAAAATGTTACTCCTAAACACTGTGATTTTAAAATGATGTCTCACCGTCATCGCCGTTCTTCTTTACGAGGCCGTCCGCGTTGACGATGGTTACCGCCGTGGCCGCTACCTTGGCCGTCCCCATACATCCTGGAGGTTTAGGCTCGTCGCGAGTCAGCTCCCTGGAACAACGTTATACTGACTTTGACTTTATCCGGAAACATAATATATTAACATTCTGTTCTTCTAAACCTTCAAAGACAATTTGGCGAGAAGACATTTGTCTTCGTTAACGCTGGTATTTACAATTCAAAACAAGTTACAGAACATCCACAATTGGAAGGCTGTGTGTTGCAATACCCACCAGCCATTGCAGATTAACTAACGTCAGGTAAAAACGATGGGTGTTCATTTGACTAGTATATACAATTTAAATAATGAAGGACAGAAGACCCCGGGTTCAATTCCCCACATAGGTACAGTGTGCATCTGGTGTCCTCCGCCGTGATATTGCTTGAATATTGCTAAAAACGGTGCAAAACCATACTCACACACTAACTAATGAAGACCGTTGATGTAAAGCCAAACCGAGTTTTTATCTTGTTTGATTGATCAGCCACTCCAAATTTGACAAAAGAAAAGAAATACAATTAAAAAAACAGTCTCTCAAAAGAATAGCAAATGTTTCTTTTTTCAATTGCCGTCATATTCGACCCTGCACGTCGATAAAGGAGAACAGGAGACTCCACCGACCTTCAACTCTTTAGGTCTTGATGTCTATCAGAGCCTGTTGGCTCTAGTATTAAAGGTGTGTCAATACAAATGACGTAACCATGACGTATCTTTCATAACGAACGACTTACCTGAGTTTGACTGCCCCAGCTGTGAAGATACGAAGAACGTGTGACCCTTCCTGTCCAGGGTCAAAGGTCGAGGGAACAAGGAGGTATCTGCCTTTGGTGAGCGAGAAGCGGCTGAAGATACTCCTGGCCTGGACGAAGGGCGTGGCATGGACACGGTCCAACTTGTCGTGCATGCGGTACTTCCGGTTCACGTCAGTCTGAAGGACATAGAAAGGTGAATGACCTGCGTTGTGTGATTGGTCGGAACTATCAGACAATTGTTTTATGTTGATATTGATCTTGGCATTGAAGAAACGAGTACTGGATATATTAACCATGAAGGTCCGGGGTAGAATAGGTCTTCAGCAACTTATGCTGGCGTAAAAGGCGACTATGCGTGTCGTAAGGAGAAACTAAACTAACGGGATCGGGTGGTCATGCTCGCTGATGCATGTCATCGTATCCCAGATATCCGTAGATCGATACTCATGACATCAATCACTAGATTGTCTGGCCCAGTCTCCATTATTTACGGACCGCCTTCATGTAGCTGTAATAATGAGTGCGGCGTTAAAGTGAGTGAGTATGGTTTTACGCCACTTTTAGCTATATTCCAGCAATGTCACGGCGGGGGACACCAGAAATGGGCTTCACACATTGTACCCATGTCGGGAATCAAACCCGGATTTTCGGCGTAACGATCGAACGCTTTAGCAACTAGGCTAAACAACATACAAACACTTTGAAATAGGAATAAGTATAACATGTCAGTCGTTGACCAACCTTCATGATGGTGACGCCGATGGTGAAGTTATCTCCCCTTTGCCTGCATTTGACCGAGCGTCTGTCCTCCTGTTCCAGAGAGATCATCACCTCCTCCTCGTCATCGTACACCTCGAATATGTACTGGAAACGACAAAATCATGCTCCATCTTTAAGACAAAAAGATACGTTTTAAAGCGCAGAATGATTATTTACGGTCTCAAACAAAACATATATGTGCTGTATTGAAGGATAAGATAGTATTTTGTGCTATACTGAGTGAATGTGTGAGTTGGGATCAACGCCGCTTTGAATAGTATTCAAATTATTTCCCGGCGTGTCGGCTTAATGTGTCAAGAAAGCCCGAAGCGATGCAGGACGTTTACCACTTCGGTGAAACCCACGAGCAAGGGTATGGTGCTGACAATCTAGAAATATAATCGGGCCGAACCGGGATTCGAAGGATTTCTGTCGTGCCGGGCGCGCATCTCTGTACAGCGAATTGCAGCGCCTTAGTCGACTGGACCCCCGTGCCCCCTGTGATGTACTGCTACAGGTATAAGTTAGTTTAGGGAATACGATTAACATTTAGATTAAACCAGTGTTACACGAATCACTGGAAAACATACATTTCTAGCACGAGTGTCGGGAATGTGTAACAAGTCGACGGTCAAGTGCGTAGTCTGTCTCCAAGAGAACCAAAATCAACTCAAGTCTAGAATGACTTGGCAAGCTTGATTGGAAATCTGTAGGAAATAAGGATTGTTCTGGGCTTCATTTGGATTTTACTATTCTTATTTTGCAGATATATATTTTTAAATTAGATAACTTGGGACTAAATGTCACTTTGTGAAAATGCGCGACTCCCCAAATCGTCTCACCTGTGGGTTTTTCAGGAATGAGGCGTGGTTGCCACAACCACCCGCTCTCATGGGTCTCTTCCACTCCCCCCGGGTGGCGGTAGGGGTCCATGTCTTCTTCAGGGTGAAGAAGCGGGTGTTGATCATGTGACAGATATCGATCTGCGTGAAGTATCGGCAGAAGTCATCGAACGACATCCTAACAGAAAACAGTAATTATCATTTTATGACAGTTTAATTGGTGTTCACATTGAGAATTTGTCACTACAATCAGGAGCATGTGAACCGGCAAGTGTCGGAAGGGAACCGAGTCCTGATACACCTGTTTGGATCAGGTCGTGATTAGTACTGACTCCTTGCAGGCGGCGAGACGAGTAAAAGAAACTCAATAGAAACGGAAGATATTCTAGTTCGTTGTGTCCGTTCTTGGTTGTCAGTTCCATTGAGGAAGTCAGTCGTCTTGAGTCTACAGTTTACTTAAAACTCTTGATATGCGTGGCGGATGATCAAAACTATACATTTGTGAATTTGCTTAATGTAGGAGTCTTCCCTGATTACATAACTCTATCTGAATATATGACGTTAGAGAAAATGCTTTTCACAAAAAGTAAAACCACTCTACCAAAATTCTCCGTTCTCGTCGAATGTCAGCCCAAGGTCTTTCTTCTCCTTTTCGCTGACCTTCTGCCACTCCGCCGACCTGAAAGACAGCTGAGTGTCAGTCCTTGAATACAGACATTCAGCCCCCATTCGTGACCAACTCGTGGTATTCCGGGACAAGGTTACGGAAAGGGGCGAATGGTGACGAATGATTCAGCCCCATCGCCTGGATGACTTGGAAGAGGTGCCTTGTTAAACGGGAAGGATCACACGCGATGCACTGTGATTTTAAGAGCGCTTTGTGCGCCGCGCTAAGGGAAACATTACACATCTCAAAACCGTTGAAAAACGCATTTATATTATGAAAACAATATATTCTTGTTCCATTTATTTTATAACTGTTACATACAATACCGTAGTTGCAAAACATAAACTGATAAAATGCTAGAACCAAAGCGTCATGGTGCGGGGAAAATATGTACAGTAACTTTTTGTTTGAAATTATTGACACGCTTCCTACTTCTCAAAACACACAGGTGGATCCATGAGGGGTCCAGTGGGTCCGGACCTCGCCCCACCCCCCTTTGAAAACCAAATGTAGTATGTTGTTGTAGGCAGTAAAATTGACTGGGAGTGGATTTTGAGATTTTGACCCCTCCCTTTTAAAAATGGTGGATCCGCCCTTGACACTTATCACGCAACAATTGCAGTTGCTTTTTATTTCACTGATCAATAATGAGTTTGTTCAAATATGGTTGTTTCTGACTCATAAATATTGACATTTTGTTAATTTGGACTCAATCTCATTAAAATCAGATCTTAGTTCTCGCTACCGCTAAACAAAGATCTGAGAACATCCCATTACGGGTCACGTCAGAACTACCTTTCATCTGACTAATCAGAGCGTCGCTTTCCGGATCATGAAAGTGACAGTCGGGAAGCGATTTCTAATCATGCAACCTCGAAAACCTCGCCAAATTGATCTTACTTCTCGCTGCCGCTAAACAAACCTTTGAGGACATCCCATTACGGGTCGCGTCAGAACGACCTTTCGCGAACTTTGACCGACCACTGAAATGACTGACAAGAAGTCGACATCAGCCAATAAGAAAGCAGCTTTCTCGAGCTTTACGGCCTCATTACAAGCTGGCGACTTCCATTTTAGACAACGCTTGAAAAATATGGTGACAGTTCTCGATTAAAATTTGGAAAATTGAACAAACGAACAGTCCGAAATGTCATAAATATCGTTGAGATTGTATGGCAGTGCTTCCCACGTACTGTTCAACGCCTCCTCCGTTCAAATGTTTATCCCACGGAAGCGAGAGATAAATGATAATTTTGACGGAATCAGCCGTACGGGGCGTAACTGTCGTTCGGAATACCCAGTGTTAACGTTTTCGAGGTTGCATGATTAGAAAACTCATTCCGACTGTCATTTTCATAATCTGGTAAGCGACGCTTGATTGGTCGGATGCAAGGTCGTTCTGACGTGACCCCTAATGGGATGTCCTCAGATCTTTTTTTAGCGGTAGCGGTGACTAGGCTCTGATTTTGATGAGATTGCTCTGTTTGCAGTCTGCTACATCGTCTTGGCCTGTTCCACCTACCCATCGCTCCACGGTCCCCTCCACTCCACGCCACCCCAGGGGTTCCTCAGTCGGATCATCTGGATCTTCTCCCGATTAAAGAAGCTGAAGAGTCCGGTGCCCTTCAGGTGGACATTGCGGACATCTGTGACGCTGTAGGCGTGACCCTTCACCAAACCGATGCTGAGTTTCACCTCCATTTCCGCCGCCGACTTGGCCTGAACAGGGGGCAGACAGGTGAATGGACATTGGTCAACATGTCATTCAGTACTTTTACACATAGGTTCCATTTTATGTCATCGTCCTGGGAAATGTTTACATGAATATTTAGTCCCAGAAATAAAGTTAAATCTATTATTTGTTTGTTTGTTGTTTAACGCCGCACTCAGCAACATTCCCGCCACTATGACGACGATCTTTAAATAATCGAGTCTATACCAGACAATCTAACCTGGATCTTCACGGGTCAGTTATTTTATTTGTAAATATATATCCACAAAATATAAAATCCAAGTAGAGCCCATGACAATGCCTAATTTCAGAGTTGAGGCAATCTAGACTTGCCAAATCATTCTAGACTTGAGTTGGTCTGCTGTTTTAATTTTATTCTCTGGGGTGTGAGAGACAAACTAGGAGTGAGTGAGTGAGTGAGTTACGTTTAACGCCGCTTTAAACAGTATTCCAGTTATATCACGGCGTGACAAACTATGTAATGGTGTATAATATATCAGGTGAATAACTCACACAGTACATCAGAAGCCTTGCATGACACCAGATCAAGTCAAACTGCACTTTACAGCCATTTTATCTACAGCCAATGACAAAATTAACTGACCCCATTTAATTTAACTGGTCTTGTCTGGAGACAAGTCTTTAAGTGTAGTGAATCTTCGTTATATCGAAATACATCGAACCATGGGACGATTCCCATTACCCGTATTCCGAGAACTGCAAAGTATCGATAAAGTATCATCACGGTGGTGATAGGGAATAGGGATTAATGAGGAACATCGTCTAAAACGATATGTCGAGAAGATACGTTCGAGTTAACGAGGATTCGCTTTACACTTTAAGTCGATGATACCCGTCACACTGATACCCACTAGGGGCACGTGTGACCTATTCGTTTACAAGGCCTTGATTTTTTTGTTGTCCAGTGTGGGTCCGCGATTTGCTGTGAGTTCGAATATTATATATTCGGTTATGATAGTAGCTGTTTCACGACCCGTGACGACCCCGTGAAGAATAGTCCTTCAACAACCCATGCCGTAAAATGCCACTATGCTTGTAAGAGGGCACTAACGGGATCGGGTGGTCAGGCTCGCTGACTTGGTTGATGCATGTCATCGTATCTAAATTGCGTGGATCGATGTTCATGATGTCAATCACTGGTTTCTCTGGTCCACACTCGATTTTTTACATGTTACATATTTACATATAGATGGAATATTGCTCAGTGCGGCATTAAACAACAAACAAAACAAGAAAATCTATTACCCTTGGTTGATGCATGTCATCGTATCCCAATGGATTGATCTTCATGATGTCAAACACTGGATTGTTTGGCCCAGACTCGATTATTTACAGAGCACTGTCACAACAAACAAACAAACAAACAAACCTGCTTTACTTTGGCTTTCCAATCACACGAGGACGACACACGGTGATTTAACTGAAATACTGTTCAAAGCGGCGTACACCCAAACTGACTCACAGATTCCGACCACAACATCAGGTTGTCCGGTACTCACCACGATGGATGCACTCATGAGCGACCTGTGGTCCATGGCCTTGAGGAGGATGTCGAACAGCCTCATCCGCTTGTCCTCCGACCTATAGTCACTGACGTCCAGCCCCTCCCCCACCCCGCCCGTCATGTCCACCATGGCGTCTCGGGCCTTCCCCGCCGTCAGGGCCTCGTACGACCCGAACAACCTGCAACAGGGCGTGGTCACTCCATAACCGAGGCAAAGTTCACCTTGTCTGTTGCTTTAAAAATGTCAGCTGCAACATTAACTTTAAAATCCTGGGATGTTCTGCCCCACCATTAATAATAATAAGAAGAGAGATTCTTATCTGAGAGTTTCAGTATCATAAAAATCACATATTACGGAAATAAATTGTATTACGCGATCATTTACCAAGCGTATATATTGTTTATTTCTAATATTAGATATTTACGACACGACACGGGTGAGTGAGTATGGTTTTACGCTGCTTCTAGCAATATTCAAGCAATATCACGGCGTGGGACACCAGAAATGGGCTTCATACATTGTTTACGACACGAAAACACACGAGGGTAATACTATCTTTATCATATAATGTCATTCTTAAATTAATCGATGTTTAAGATGTAATTTCGCCTTTAAGAAGTAACTTCAGGAACCGCGTATGAATACAGTGTTTGAGTGAACCGTCTCATTCATCATAGAGTGCCAGATGATATGCGGCCATGTTTGTATACATAATCACCTACATACCCCCTATTTATACATATTGGGAACGTTAGTAAATAGTTCATTGAGCAAACAGACGTTGAATCGACGTAGGGAGAGTAAAAGTAGTTCCTTTTTTGGTGACCTAATTTGCATAAATATCGGATAATGAAACCAGGTTTATCAGATAGGATTATGGACCAATTCGCTACCAAGCTTCGTTTTCGAACAATTTCTATCGCTCCTATCAGTAATTTCCATTCAATTAGCTTCGCACATGACTATAACTTTATTGGATGGCTATTTGTCAGCATATATTCATTCAAATCGGACAAGCTAATCGTGGATAATTGTCAAATAAACTTATTTTGTTCCATATTGTATCATTATCATTGTACCATAGCTGTATACAGCCCAACACTTACTTTGCATAGGCCTTCTCCAGTAGAGCTGACCAGAATTCATTTCTTGACTTGGAGTGCATGAATATCAACCTGCCCTGTCTGAAAGATAAACAATTCACCAAATGTATGAAAGTAACATTGAGGTACACTGACGAGGTACACAGCCTACATAGTTACGAAATCTCGTCTTAAGCAAAAAATAGATATGTCTCAGACAAAATTTTCAACATCGTTCTCAATTATTTTTTTATGCATTCGGAACACACTTGGGGAGAGGAATCTTTGATTTGTGATATTATTATTTAAATTGATATCGTAAACAAGGACTGCTTCCGGTTTAGGCCGATGAAGATTTATTTCGTTCACACCTCGTGGGTAGGTAGTCATCTATCACAACGTCTTCCCATTGCCCACAGCGCCAGAACTTGAAGTGGAAGATACCGGCGTATTTGTTTCCTGGCGCCCATTCCTGATTCCTGTAATCTGGTACCACCTGAAACAAACACGACCAAAAGATAAAATACAAACTCTGACATTTCGTTCTTATTGTCATCCTGTTAACACAAACATGAAGACGGTTGTAAGGTATGACCGACATACATACATGTGGCACACCTGTACTAAACCCCATGCTGCTTCCTTCCATTACTCCATGGAGGCGCTATTTTTTTATTTTAAAATCGGTTATAAGAACTCAAAGACACCACAAAATCAGTTCGTGACACACGAAGAACTTTTATAAAAAAATAAATAAATGAATGAATTATATAAATAATAAACTAAAAAATAACGTTAATTGTTTTTCCTCACTGGCAAGAGTTAGTGAGTATGGTTTTACGCTGCTTTTAGCAATATTCCAGCAATATCACGACGGGGGACACCAGAAATGGGCTTCACACATTGAACCCATGTCGGGAATCGACCCCGGGTCTTCGGCGTGACGAGCAAACGCTTTAACCACTAGGCTACCCGACCGCCCCTCACTGGCAAGACTTAGATTCGTTACATTTGACTAATCGCCGAATGAGTGTCATCGTGCCCCGATTGCGTGTGTCCTTGCTCATGCTATCAACCACTGGCCCGCCTGGTCAAGACTCCCTCACTTACATGCTGCCATGTTAGAGCTTGACTATCTCCAACTGTGGCGTTATTCACTACATTCCTTCAAAATCAATTGACATCACCAGCAGTCAAATTGCTATTATTAATATGTCACCAACTATTTTTTACCCGTGAAAGTCCGGTAGAATAGATCTTCAGCACCCATGCTTGCCGTAACAGCGACTATGCTTGCCGTAACAGCGACTATGCTTGCCGTAACAGCGACAATGCTTGCCGTAACATGCGACTAACGGGGTAGGGTGGGCAAGATCACTGACTTGGTTGATGCATGTCATCGTATCCCAATTGCGTGGATCGATGCTCATGATATCAGTCACTGGATTGTCTGCTCCAGACTCGATTATTTCCAGACAGCCGTCATATAGCTGGAATATTGCTGAGCGCGGCGTTAAACAACAAACAAACAATTTTACCTTTTTCCAAAGCGTGGAATCCTCGGCGATACAGGCACAGGCCGCGACGAACCAGCAGTTGCCTAGGCTCCCCTGGGAGAAGTCATCAGCACTCGCCTTGTCTATGAAAAACCTTGGATCCGGCACAATATCCTGTAACGAGAAGTGAGTGAGTGAGTGAGGTTGGTTTAACGCCACTTTTAAAAGTATTCCAGTTATATCACGGCGAGTCGGCTTAATGTGTAAAGAAATCCCAAAGTGATGCAGGTCTCAGACGTTTACAACTTTGGTGAAACTCAAGAGCACGGATATGGTGCTGATAAACCTTGAAACATAATCGGGGCGAACCGGGATGCGAACCCACAATTATACTAGCGTAGCCAAAGGACTCAAGGATGCAGAGCGAGTTGCGTGGCTTAGACGACTGGGCCGCCCCCTCCCCTACGCATCAGCGGGGACTTTCTCAACAATCAGGCATTACATGTCAAGTACATTGTCGTCATCATGACGTACTGACGCATGACGTTCACGTTGCGACGTCATGCTGTACATATGCTACTTCGTATACCGTTGGTTGACCGGTCTCTAGTACTTCATGCTTGGGGTAATCGTCGCGAAGCTAGGGATGCGATGGCCAGGTTCTCCGATCTGCCTGATTCGTGTCATCGTACACCGATGGCGTGTATCGTTATTCGTGCTCAATCCCTAGTCTGTCTCACAGTCCCCGTCATACCAAAAGACGTAAAAAGATGGTACTTGTTGTTATCCTGTCTGTAGCTCGGCATTAAGGGGCTAATACAAGGACTGGTCGGCTCGGACTCAGTATACTGTGTCTGAGTGGGGTATTCATGTTAAACTGCGGCATGGTATCTCGGTGAGCTAGCACTATAAATCGGCATCAGTCCGGACTAGTACAAGCAGCCACACACACACGTGCATGCACGTCGCTATATAAGTGCAATAATCTTGGACGCGACGTTAAACCCCATTTCACCTCACCTCACCTCACAGTCCCTGAACCATATTATTTTCCTTTTCGCCCACCCCTTTCTGAAATGCAAAAGCCCTAAATGAAGCAAGTCTAGATTTTACTCAGGTTCTGAATCTCCCATCTCATTTGGGCTCCTTTTCAGTGATTTGTTTCCATCAAAATAATATATTTTCAGAGTCGAAGCGTTAGACTGGCTCAGTACCCACTAGGTCTGGACTCGCAGGTCGCTGTGACACACTGTGTTGATTTTTTGCGCAAAACAACGTTTATTCATTCATTAATAGACTCGGGAAAAGTGTTCAACACAATGTAGCGAATTATATTAATTAAATAGATATTATATTACCGATACCTCTCTCTCTAAACAGACATTAAATTTTCATTCCTTATCATGTAGACGAAAATACCTAGAATTACGCCAACTGTATAATCCCAGGTCCAACACTGGCTCAGTGTATTTTCTGGGATGCAATTCTCTCAACTCTAGATCCAGGCGGTCTTGAATTGGCCAAAATCTTTTATTCTGATACGATACCTGGGTGCGTACAGAACTGAGGAGACATGCATAGAAGGTCACGTCAGATGAAGCGTCTTATCACCTAATCAGCGTCGATATATATTTTCGGAACAAGAGCGAAACGTTCATTCCAGCATCCAGATTTCTGTATCTCGAAAACGAGCCTACACGACCTTTCCCGAATGTTCATAATGAAGGCCGCGCCGTTATATTGTTGTGGACATAATTATTAATACACCCTGTCGTTTTTTAGCTTCATGTCATCTACACCCTGTATGTCTAGGGAGTGCCATCGAGGGCATATTTGTGTCCTGCGAGGGTTTTCTTTTGTTAAAATCCAAATATCCGAATTGAGGTTAAGGGAAAATGAAGCCAAATCGATTTAGACAGTTGCCATCTGATCGACTCAGCCACCCACGCACAATTCGTTCAGACTACGGGGTCAAAGGTCGCTCTTAAAGATTCACGTGACGCGACCTTCTGTGCAGCTGTCCTCAAATTTTAACGCAGAGAGGTGTCATATCGGTGTAAAAGATGGGATGTTTATGACATTGTGAATTAACGCCCAACATCCGTATATTCTGATACAGTAACACTCTCCTTGCATTAATTAATTAATGGTGAGAGAGACGTGTTTGTTTGTGAGGATAATATATGTTCTTATTTTGTTTGTTGTTTAATGCCGCACTCAGCAATATTCCATCTATATGTAAATATATAATATGTAAATAATCGAGTGTGGACCAGAGAAACCAATTATTGACATCATGAGCATGGATCCACGCAAATGGGTTACGATGACACGTTCAACCATGCAGCGAGCCTGACCACCCGATCCCGTTAGTCGCCTCTTACGACAAGCATAGTCGCCTTTTACGGCAAGCGTGGTTGCTGAAGACCTATTCTGTACCAAGATCTTCACAGGTATAGGGTAATAGTGAAGTCCCAGCATATATGTCCTAATTCCGATAGAAAAGGAAGGTCTTCGGCAGAATCTTTTTTCGTCCATTAAATATGCAAAGTTTAAGAAATAAGGAATAACAGTACAAAGTCAGTGCAAAGTTCGGTTTGGGTAACGTGTTATTTCTTACATGTCCCCCAGAAAATCAATATCGTCAAAAAAGCATTTGTGCCATACTACCTAGAGTATGTCTGAAGCTAAAACTCTGTTATGATCGAGTGCTTTTTTGGTTGGTTTGATGTTTTACGCCACACTCAGCAATATTCCAGCTATATGACGGCGGTCTGTAAATAATCAAGTCTGGACCAGACATTCCAGTGATTGATATCATGAGCATCGATCCACGCCACTTGGATCGATGACATGCTTCAACCAAGTCAGCGAGCCTGACCATCCGATCCCGTTAGTCGCCTCTTACGACAAGCATGGTCGCCTTTTACGGCAAGCATGGGTTGCTGAAGACCTATGATCGAGTGAGAAAAGGTTACAAGTCCGATAACGTTATTAACCATAATAAAAAGTTATCCAATAATTTGGAATTTGAATTTCCCTATTGCAATAGCTTCCTTAACATACACTACTATGAAACACATCAAAACTATCGTTACATGTAAATTTTCGTTACTCCCATAACCGATTTCCTTTACAAACAACTGTCGCACGTGACGTTTTGAAAACGTTTGACTGGATGTCAATTGGTTCGAAACAGAAACATGATACAAAATACACAAATATGAATATCAGTGTTGGTGTTGCGTTACTATTTTGTCTGAGTGTGTAAACACCGCCTCTCTTCCACACTTCCCTCTGAGGCACAGTGCCAAGTAGGCCGAGGCTAGACCCTTTCCATTACCGGCCTCCGTCTTCGCACCTGATTTACGCCAGTCAGGGTTAATTGAGAGGTGGAAATGGGTATTCACGTTGATGTTGACTGGGCATGAGACATAGAAACAAACACACTGGGAGGTCTACTCTACGGACACTGGGGCCAGCCGTAGGCCTATATACCGCCAGTATCCACGTCCACCTGGTGGTAGGTGTATGTCGTCGTGTCAGCAGACGTTGTTGATGCAGAGGTAGTAATTACAGTTCTTGTGAAGATTCCGGGTTAGACAGGCCCCACCAACGTCGGAGAGGCGGCTAAATGGGTTGGTGGTCAGTTTCGGTTATTTTGATTGCGTGTCCAATTACCCCGACGGTGGAGGGCTGCTCATAATATCAATCATTGGTTTGTCTGGTCCGGACGTGATTATTTACAGGTGTCATGATATAAATAGAATATTACTTCTTGAGAGGCATTTAGAAGTTGGAGTCCTAAGTAGTTGGTTTGTTGTTTAACGCCGCACTCAGCAATATTCCAGCTATATGACGGCGGTCTGTAAATAATCGAGTCTGGACCAGACAATTCAGTGATTAATATCATGAGCATCGATCCACGCAATTGGGATCGATGACATGCATCAACCAAGTCAGCAAGCCTGACCACCCGATCCGGTTAGTCGCCTTTTACGACAAGCATAGTCACCTTTTACGGTAAGCATGGGTTGCTGAAGACATATTCTACCCAGGATCTCCACGGGTCTGAAGGAGTCCTAAGTAAGGATAAGAAAATGGATGAATAACTTCTTTTTAACAATTCCAAATATTATTTTAAATAAAGAAGTTGTTCATCCATGTACCCTATCCTTTCTTAGCCAGAATGTTGATGACTGTGGCGTTAAACAACAAATAGCAGAATCAATCAGTGTGGTTGTAGTCATAATTAACGAACGAGATAAGTTTAACGACACTTTCTCCAGTATTGCATTCATATCACAGGTGTCAGCTTGGTGTCGGAGGTAAGCCCGTGTCGATGCATGTCTTAGACGTTTATCAATTTGCTGATATGATGCTTACCAAGGGGGAACGTGTCAGCTCGCGATGGGATTCGAACCAACGATTAGCGGATCCTTGACGGCTTTGGGCCATTTTCAAACTAGTTACTAACAGTTTTCTTTTCTCTTTAAAACATATCATCTTTAAGTTTTCCACAAACGTGTCCCATTTGCTAATCCCTGAATCCCGTACACAAAACTCAAAAGCACATGTAAAACTTCACTCTGCATTGGCAGAATACCAACCACAGACGAAAAGCTATAGAACACGTTCCTAGGTCATAAGAAGGTGAGGCTGAAGCAAAATTACTGACAAAATATGGAAAGAACATAATATATACAGGAAATTTTAACATACATCATTTTTAAAAAAAGATTTTATTTGCGTCCCGCAAACCACACTACTGAGTCCGGAATACGGTCTAAATAGACCCCGTATCCTGCGTCCCAAAAAGGGGATGAAAGCCTCACTGGTCTAATGAGTGAGTGAGTGTGTGAGTTGGGTTTAACGCCGCTTTTAACAGTATTCCAGTCATATCACGGCGTGTCAGCTTAATGTGGGAGGAAAGCCCGAAGTGATGCAGGTCTCAGACGTTTACCACTTCGGTGAAACCCACGAGCACGGGTATGGTGCTGACAAACCTAGAAACATAATTGGGGCGAACCGGGATTCGAACCCACAATCAGAGGTTTCTGGCGTGCCCAAGGGACGCAACTCTGCACAGCGAATCGCGGCGCCTTAGACGACTGGGCCACCCGTGCCCCCCTACTGGTCTAATGAACTCCATGGCGGTGTCTGTAAATTAGTTTCATTATGATGTTTACCTTCGGCCTCTTCCAGACAATATCTGCCGGCGCCGGGCGGCTGTAGAACAGAGAGGACCCAGACGGGGGGAACTCGCCGTCCAAAAACAGCGCATTCTTCTTCACACACTTCCGTTTCAGCTTCCCGTACTTCTGTCCCTTCCGAGGCACTGCCGTGCTGCTGGAAGCCATTCTGAAAGAAAATGAACCATAGAAATGTTTTTTTGTTAATTTATCTCTCACTTTTATTGTTATGTGATTTCAGGACAGTGGGATGGTCGATGGAAAAAACCCGTTTTGTTATGTAACTTTTTCTTCCTTTGTGAGATCATCTCCCTTAATTTGAACAAATACAAGCTCCATTCCAGCGCTAGACACCTTCGTTACACTCTCGGTAATATCGTTACCATCCATGTGGGCGCGGCCATTACTTTTTGTTTGTTTGTTGTTTCACGCCGTACTCAGCATTATTCCGGCAATATAACGGTGATCAATAAATAATCGAGTCTGGACCAGACAATCCACTGATTGACATCATGACCATCGATCCACGCAACTGGGATCGATGACATGCATCAACCAAGTCTGACAACCCGACCCCGTTAATCGCCTCTAACGACAAGCATAGTCGCCTTTTACGGTAAGCATGGGCTACTGAAGACCTATTCTACCCCGGATCTTCACGAGTCGAGCGGCCATTCCTAGAATCTTGAAATTGGCCCTCTAAACCCAAATGTAGTAACGTTTATACTTTTGTTTATGTATTTGGGAATGCCAAAGTTAATAGTTAATAGTTAATTTTGAAAATGTTTACGACTGACCATATTTCCCAGATGAATTTTCCTTTTTTGTTTGTTTGATCAGATTAGTTCAAGATTGCAGACGGAAAATCAACCAACTTCCCCCCTTACATTCTTACTACATCAAATACATGATAGTTGCAATGAAACAAGTTCTAACTGACAAACAAAGAAAATAATTTAGTAGGGGGAAGAGTATTCGGCGTCACGGTAGTCATCAGTTGTTTGTAAACATAACGGTCAGTTGGCTACTCCAAGCATGGATGTAGCCACCTATCACAGTAGGGAGCTTTGACTGGTATCAGCTATGGCATCATTCGTCACCACTCGCCCCTTTCCGTAACCTGCAAGAAGACTCGTCCCCCTCTCGATGAATGTCATGTGCGAAAATACGACAAACCAATCAGAATGCGCGTATGATTTCGAGCTCTTTGTCAAATAATCCCTCAGAAATAATTTTTGATTTTACATATGTCTTGCATCTAAAAATATACCCAAGACACAGTTAAATGTGTTCAATCATACTGTATAATTCCGCACGTCCCGATGTCCTTTAAATTGCATCAGCAAAATAAATATTATATGGGGAAATATATGTGAACCATTACGCAACGAGTTGACAATTGTTTTAGGTATGCTCGTTTGCGCTAAGACGGAACCTAGTCGCAAAAATGGCCACGAGAGGGGCACGAGTCGCTAATCGGCTTGTCCCGGAATACCACGAGTTGGTCACGAATGCGATGGCGTAGAGAGCTCCGCGAACGGGATATGGCTGTAGGGAGCTTGGAGAAAATACAGGTACGATTTCTGGGTCAGCGTTGATGCCTGAATATCGCATCGGCTGATTTGGTATATTGCCAGGGTTCTTGTCTAAAACGTCATTAGTATTATAATGTCAATATATATTTTCAGTCGGAGGAGAGGATCCATATCATAGCACGGGACCGTAAATAATGATTTCTCGCCAGGGATAATCTGACAAAAAACAAACGGTTTCAGATAATACTGGAAAGATGTAAGTTTGCCAGAGATTGTTTACTTAATGGCCATTTGTGTACACCGAAACAATTTCAGAAGAAACCTCCAACAAAATAGTGTTTCTAACACAAGTCCCAGTCCCCCAGTATATAAAATGGTCGGACCCACAACTACCAAGCACAAAACACATGAACATGCTTCTGAACGAAATAAAGTAAAGCTGCTTCTATTCTGGTATACCATTACGTGTGATCCTGAACATGTTCTGTGCTTTCCCAACATGTGTAGTTTGTGCATACGGGGATGTGAATACTGTCGGCACTTGTTACACTTGGTTGGCTGGTTTGTTGTTTAACGCCGCACTCAGCAATATTCCAGCTATATGACGGCGGTCTGTAAATAATCGTGTCTGGACCAGACAATCCAGTGATTAACATCATGAGCATCCATCGATCTATGCATCTGATTTGGTTTGGTTGGTTGGTTTGTTGTTTTACGCCGCACTCAGCAATATTACAGCTATATGACGGCGGTCTGTAAATAATCGAGTCTGGACCAGACAATCCAGTGATTAATATCATGAGCATCGATCCACGCAATTGGGATCGATGACATGCATCAACCAAGTCAGCGAGCCTGACCACCCGATCCCGTTAGTCGCATCTTACGACAAGCATAGTCGCCTTGGGTTGCTGAAGACCTATTCTACCCCGGATCTTCACGGATCACATGTAAGAGTAGACTGGGGAATGTGAAACTTGAAACATGAACTACTTCCAAAGAGTGTTAATGCATCATCAGTTGTAAGCAGTATACTTATTGGTGACAAATTACTTAAACAAAAGAGTATTTGCCTTCGGGTGGGTTCAGGACCGCTCCTCAGAGCTGCCCAAACAACACGACTACCGCAAGTCGCAAAGAAGACTTACCACTGATGCCACCTCATATCACCTCTCCAAGAAGAGGAGAATGTAACTGTAGTATGGAGGATTTGTCGGAGAAAATAAATTATTTAGTACGGAAGTCCGCTACCTCGTCAGAAAGACGGATTCAGCATAATGCATGTATTTCTCCAAAACCTTTGATCCACTGCAGCACTTTCTGATAAACTTTGTTTTGAAGAACAATCGAATAACCGGTAAAGTTCTAATATGTTTAAGTCAATGTACTCGATGTTGAAATCTTGTGTAAATACAGAACTTGATTAAGCAATTGTTTCAATTGTTGGGTGGGGACAAGGCAAGGCTGCACGATAAGTCCAACAATGTTTTCCTATTTAGTTAACGAATATATTGTTTACTCATTAACTATAGGTGAACACGCATGCAAAGTTTCAAAAGTATTAACAGGATGACTCCAGTCTCAGTACCGTTTTCACTTGCTCTTTTATAAACAAAAGAAATATTTCAATTAAAAACATAATAATGTCATCACAAGGCCAATATTACCATGGAGATATGTTGAAGGTTGTTGTATGTAGGTTTGGGAAGTATGGTGGTGTGGCGGGGCTAGCTTGTCTCTATTGCTGGCATGTACAAAGTCAACTTGACATTTGTAAACCAGCCTAAAATACATAGTGTCTAACTAACTTCAAATGTCAAATGTCAGGGAAAAGGGACAGATCGAGTCACACGTTCATCGGTTAAAGGACCCTGAACCTGTTACAGACCTTGTGTCACTGTAATATGTCATGTGTTACCTTTAAAACATTGCCTCATGACAAGTCTGATAATTTCCAATATCTTGTGTGCTGAAGGTAAGAAATGTTAACTTTAACACAAAGACGAGTAACACTGGTAACAAGTTGGACAAATTGTATTGGAAAGATCATTTAATCACATTTTTAGAATCATTATACAAGGAAGACGCCTGCAATGAAATATTTGATGTTATCACTGATACAGAGAGGGCTGAGATCCTCACAGATGTGTTACACCAGCGTGGTGAATGCTTCAGGAAGAGGGAGAAATATGTCCATAACTTAAAGCAGCCTGTTTGGTGGGATGAAGAATGTGAACATTAAACAACAATTTTCTTTTAAGCTGTAGAGTGAATTCAAGAAAAGCAATACCAATTCTGACTTTCGGGTGTATCGTAAAGGGAAAAAACCGTCTATAATCAGCAAAGCCTCAGTGATACTATGTTCGTTATTGCTACGACGGGTGGCTGAAACGTTCCGAGCATCACCACAGAGGATGTACAGTACACCCTTAGCAGTTTGAATGCATTAAGTACAATACTTGCCATGCTTTCATGGCGTATTTCAACCGATACGAACACCCGCGTGGTCTAGTAGTAGAGCGTCGATAGCAGGAGGTCGAGGTTTCGTATTCGATCCCCGGCCGCGTCATACCAAGAAGACTTTGAGCTGTAGCATGGTATCTCAGTGGGCTAGCACTATAGCGCGGAAAAGTTTAAAAAAATAAAATGATATAATAATGGATGATCGACTATTCTCTACACGTCTCGTACATTGCGATTTTTTTCTGTATATAATGTGCAGGTGTGTCGTGTGTTGCTACCTGTCAAACATTTTCGGATCGTCCATAGCTTGACCTGCGACCACTTTCCACAAGTGCGCATTTTCAGCATATTTGTGTCTTCTAGTACATTCGACCAGCAGGGGCACGGGTGGCCTAGTCGTCGAAGTCGCTGTGCAGAGTTGCGTCCCTTGGGTACGCCAGAAACCTATGATTGTGGATTCGAAATCCTGTTCACCCCAATTATGTGTCTAGCTTCATCAAGCACCGTACCCGTGCTCGTGGGTTTCACCAAAGTGATAAACGTCTTAGATCTGCATCATTTCGGGCTTTCCTCCCACATCAAGCTGACACATCATATAACTTGACTCCTGTTCAAAACCACACTCACTCACATGTTGGTGGTCATCGGTCAACAGCACCACCACTTACATTTCCTATATTACCTATGATTGGTTTGACTAGCTTCTGTTGATGTTTGTATATAAAGAAGTAAACGTAGCTTGTGAGTGTATGTCTGGTTTGACTAAAGGCGAATTTATTACTGCTACTGTGTCTCTTGAATACATTTCGGGGCAATGGGGTAGCCTAGTGGTCATATCATTCATTCGTCACACCGAAGCCCTGGGTTCGATTCTTCACATGGGTACAATGTGTGAAGCCCATTTCTGATGTTCCCTGTCATGATATTGTTAAAGGCGGCGCAAAACCATACTCACTCACTCTCACTAGATTATATTTCTTACAGTACTTAAGAAGAAATAATAATCGTATTTGTTTTGAATATCAAGTTCGGAGTTATTTTATATCACGTACAGACTACACCGCCAAAAATAACCTCATGGTCGTTCTCTGGTCTAAATACAGACCGATGCCGTATAATTTGGCAGTACTACAAACAACTCTGGACAGGAAGCTAAGTCAGTTTGAGATAA